TCAGTGTCTTGATATTATTCCATAATAAAGCTTTCTGCTGCTTCTTGGTGATATGGAATTTCCAAAGATAAAAAGAACCAATTATATATAAAAATTAATCATACTGACTTAAGATCGACACATCCCACAGCAAAACAATCTTCAATAACTAATTATAATATCTTAAATATTTTAGGCCAATCTTTGTAAAGACAAAGTAGAAAAGTAGAATATCCAAAAGCTTTAAATCCTCTCAGTGTTCATAAAAATTACAAATTGGGGCTGGAGGTATAGTTCTAGGTAGAGAGGTGGCCACAAGCAAGAGGTTCCATTTTAGTACCTCAAAAACAAACAAAAAAAACCTATGAATTAATAAAGATAAGTGACACGTGGAAAAATAAGAATTCATACCCCATTTGAATCAAATGTATATGTCAAGATCACTGTAATGTTTTGAGCAACCAATAAAAAATAAATAAAAAAGATAAGCCGAATGAATGTTTAGAGAAAAAAAGCATTTTTTAAAAAAATTCTCAAAACACTGAAAAATGGTCAAAGAATAGAAATTAACATATAAACACCCAATGGGTTGAATGTTAGCAAAACAGGTCATTTAGTAAGATAGCCAGCTTCCTGAATGCCAGCTGAGGCTCAATACAACACAATATGAAGACATGTACTTTTTTTGGTTGTGATAGTAGGGAGTAACTCAGGATTGAACTCAGGAGCATTCAACTGTGCCAAATCCCCAGCCCTATTATGTATTTTATTTAGAGACAGAATCTCACTGAGTTTTGTAGTACCTCACTTTTGCTGAGGCTGGCTTTGAATTCATCATCCTCCTGTCTCGGTCTCCTGAGCTGCTAGGATTACAGGTGTGCACCACGGTGCCCAGCAAAGACCATGTACTTTTTAATAGGCTCAGGATTTGAATCTAAGCTGACCTTAGGACAAATTAACTTTTTAGAGATTCTATTTCCCACTCCATCAATGAGAATGCTTCCGACTATCACAAGGATTTGTAGGCAAATGTAATGGTAGGTATTTATAAATACTTGGCAAACAGTAAAACACTATACTAAGTACCATTTTCTCCCTTTCCTGAACAGCCCTTCTTTTCAATACACTTCGCATTTATTGTAAGGCCAATCAGAAAGATTATGTGACTACACACCTCAATCAAGCATTAAAAAAATTTAAATAAGTTACAGAGGGGGAAATAAAGCTAAGGAAGAACTGATGAAAAGAAATGCACCCATATGACTCTAATGTATGATATGTCAAGATCACTGTACTGTCATGTGTAACTAATTAAAACAAATTAAAAAAAAAAAAGGGAAAAAAAAATCCAGACTGGAAAAGAAGTAAAACCGTCTCTATTTGCAGGTAACATGATCATATATACAGAAAATCCTAAGGAATTCCCAAATAAAATATTAGAGATAATAATTGAATTCAACAAGATAACAACATCAAAAGTCCATACACAGAAATCAGTTGTATTTTTGCACACTAACACTGAAAAAATAAAATTATAAAAAACAAAACAACAAAAAAAAGAAATGCACATGCTGAGGACTGAAAATTCAAAAAAAAGGGCAAAAAACAGGTTGTGAAGTAGAATGGAGAAAAATAATATTCTAGGATGTAACATCAAAAAATATCTTTTTACCATAGTTTCAATACTAATTTAGATGAGTATGCATTTCCTTAAAAATATCTGCACTGACAATTCATTAATATGTAAAGTCTACATGGACCGAAGAAAAGATCACAATGCTTTTTCTTACAGCATAACACTCAGTCTATAATAAACACTTAAGTGAAGTACATAATCACACCCAGCAACTAAGGAGGCTGAGGCAGGAGGTCTATAAGTTCAAAGCCAGCCTCAGCAATTTAGTGAGGCCCTAAGCAACTTAGTGAGACACTGTCTTAAAAATTAAAAAGGGCTGGCAGGGAGTATAGCTCAGTGGTAAAAGCACTAGGGTCCAATTGCTAGTCTCCCCAAAAAGTACATAATCCAGATCCACAATAAGTTTGCATATTCAATAAAACACCACCACCCATTCACTTGCCTATTCAACAATTATTTATTAAGCACCTATATGTGCCAAATACAAAACTGAGCACTAAGAATTCAATAGTAGGCAGGACAGGACAGTTTTCATGGAGCTTATAAGGGAGCAGTTTGTTCATTAACAAACATGGAACACCTACCATTATTATTAAATTTTAGAAGTAAATATAAAACTTTTTTGCATTAAGCTGGACAAGTGAGTTCAATTATTTGTTCCTAAACAATAATAATTGCATGTGTTAGCTTTAAAAAATCTTTCAGTTTTTCAATCAGCTATTTTAACTGTTAATTCTGGGTACCACATTTGAAATAGGACATTTAACCAACACATAATGTATTGTAAAAAAAAAAAATCTGAACCACACCTTTAGAAAAGTTTTATGGCTCAGTTTTAAAAAACTAGTTTGCGCTGTACCATTCCAAAGTTACATGGACATGGATTTCTATTTCATATGAATAATTCTAACAATTCAAGCTATTCAATAATAATTCAACCATCTTAGATTTCCATAGGGCTGTTTACAAAAAACGTTTTTCACTTGCTCCTTAAAAAGCCAAAAACAAAAAACATTTCCCCATTACAGTTTAGTACACTCAGTCTTCAAAAGTCTTGCTAAAGAACTAGCCAAACCAGTGCCAGAACTCAAGTCCAAAATCTAATGGAACAGGCTGACTCAAAGGAATGTATTTCCTACCTCTAAATGTACTCAAGTACACACCAAATGGTCAACTGTCAGGAATGTTGGCCAAGATATTCAAAAGCTTATTCCAAACCCAATTCTTTAGAAATATTGATGGTCAATACACGCACCATGAAATGATTCAGTAATGAATATTCCTTTAAAATGTAAGCTCCATGAGGACAATGACTTTGTCTTTCTCCCCTTCTATATTCCAGTCACTAAAACAGTACTGAGCACATGTGTTCAGGTATTTGCAAAATATAGATAAACCTAATCATATAAACCATTACTATATAAAATACATACAGTATTAGACAAAATAAGGCCTTAGTAACGCATCTAGCAACTAAAAATTTTAAAAATACAAAATCATTCTTTTGCACAGTCCAGCCCATCTAGGAGGCTGAGAAAGGGGGATTAAAGTTTGAGGCCTGCCTGGGCAACTTAGCAAAACCGTTTCAAAATAAAATTTTAAAAAGGGTTGGGAATACAGGTTAGTAGTAGTGTACACTGCATCCATTTCCCAATCCTGTGAAAATAAATAATACAAAAAATGAAAAAATGTTTAGTCTATTCCTAAAATGACGTCGCATAATTAAAATCACTAACTGAAATACTGAAACTTACTCTATTCAGTTAACAAAACAAATCCAACTGTGAAAATGCAAACCATTTGCCAAATCTAAAATACTATAATAAAAAGTAAAATATAAAGCTTCATATAATGAACAAAAAAGTATAGAAACAATAAAAGATATAATTGCTAAATTTGTAGAAAAAGTTGTCAATGAAGATGTTCTTTTTTTTTTTCCCATTGGTAGTTATAGATGCCTTTATTTTATTTGTTTCATTTTTATGTGGTGCTGCCTCGAACATGGTAGGCAAGTGTTCTGCCACTGAGCTACAGCCCCAGCCTTCAATGAAGATATTCTTAAGCTATCAACAGGCCACGTTAAGTATTCGAACACTGTAAGAATAAAGAAATTTTTGTAGATCTTTTGATTTAAAGACAAACTCAAGTTCAGATTTCTACTCTCATCACTTCCTTATAAACACTTACGATGCTGACACCTCAAAGAGATCTGCAAATTTTACAGATACACAGATTGTATTGAGTTAGATTCCACATACCTCATACTTGATGTACTTAGTACCCACCTGGGCTTACTGAAAACTAAAAACAATAGGAAAATAACAGCAATCCAAATGTTACTTTTACAATACCTTAAATCATAGGGCCTACAATTTCCAAATAGCTTAAGGAAACTAAGAATCACAAAACCTACAAAATATTCAAAAAGGTTTTAATTCACTTGGCTTAGTGGCCAAGCATATGTCAATACACTTTTTTTTTTTTTGGAGAATACTATTGCATCACAAGAAGACAGAATAGCTACATAAAAGTTTTACTCCAATTTAAAGATTAAATTATAACCCTTTAAATTTTTCTGAACAAAGATCCTGATACTTAAAGGCCTAGTTAACTTTACAGTAGCAGGTTTATATGGTAGGCAAATGTTCTAATCCATTCACTTGTTTACACTGGGTTACACTACCTAGATGTATAATGTTATTGGCAATTGAGAGTGATCACAAATCAACAGAGAAACCACAACCTTGTCGTTTTCTACTTCTTAAAATGACAACTTTGAAAGATCACGTAAAAAGCTATACCCACACAATATCACAAAATAAATTATTTTCAGAATTTATTACTATCAACTTCCACTTAAACATCTCACATAGTAAAAGGATAAACTTTATAGAAAAGCTGCTTTTCCCTATCCCTGAATATTACAAAATATTTGCAATCCATTTCTAATTCTGACATCATCACCCGATTGTGATTAGCTTTTGGTCCCTAAACTGCAGTCCACTCTTAAACGCCAACAGTGAAACCTCTTCTTACTGAGCTTTCAAAATTAAAACAATTTAAACGAACTGGGCTGGAGAAGGTAAGAGCTTTTCAGAAATACCTGTTAATATGTTAAAGCAACAAGTCTAAAACTCTGAACTCTTAGAAATCTTCACCGCCAGAACATAAAAGCTCCATTCGCCCGGTTGCCTAGTCCCTCTCACCTCCTAAAAAGTGTCATGTGCGCGCGAATCGCCTACCCCTTATAGATGTCCCACCCCAGGTGGTATTCTCTACTCTAGGCTGTGGACTTGGTGGTTTTAAGGAGTCTCATATCACTTTCCCTGACTCCTGGGATTTCCGCCAGCGAAGCCAAAGAAAAGGACAGGGGGGCGGGACTCACCTGAGCACTGGGCTGTAGGGGCTGCGGGAGCGGCGCCAGCTGCTACTGCTGTACGGACTGGGGGACACGTCGCCACCCCGCTCGTAGGAGCTGTGGCGGCTGTAGCTGGGGGAACGGCGGCGGCTGTAGGGGCTCGGGGAGCGCGGCAGCCGCCGAGAATAGGGGCTGCTGCCACCTCCTGCCGGGCTGGGGGACTTGCGGCTCCTCATGCTCTGCGAGGCCCTGTGGGACACCGGGCTGTCGTCCCGGCCGCCCAGCGGGCTCAGGGACCGCTGCCGCCGCCTGTAGGCCTTGGGTTCGGTCTTGTCCTCCCGGTAAGCCTTGGGCGGCTCCTTGTAGGCCGAAGGCGGCTCCTTGGACGACTTAGTCCGGCTCCGGTGGGCCTTCAAGTCTCGGTCCTTGCGGCTACTGCTGCTGCTGGACGTGGCCGAGGCGCTTTTCCGGCGGCCACCACTGCTGCTGCTGCTGCCGCTCTTGGCGGCCTCGACACGCTCCTCGCCACTGTGGCTGTGGCGGCTGCGGGACTTGGAGGCCTCGCTGCCGCCGCGCTGCCCATCTCGTCGTCGGTGCTCGCGATGGCGCTCCTTGCTGCGGCCGCTACTGCTGCGGCGTTCCCGGCGGGGCCTGCGCTCCGACCCCTCCCCGCGCCGCTGGGTGCCGGAGGAGGAGGCCGGACTCCCGCCGCTGCCCCCCGTTCCCCCGGCAGCCGTCGCCGCCGTTGCCGCGCTGGCCCCCCCCAGCAGCAGCCCCTGCTCGGACTGGGAGCTCACATCCTCATATTCCACCAGCGGGGTCACACCCCCGCCGCTACTAGCACCGCCACCGCCGTCCTGCTGCGGCTGGGGCAGCGAGAAGACCCGACGCTTCTCCGCCTCCTGCCCGGCGCGGGGCCCGCGGCGCCGCTTCTGCCGCCCTCCTGCGCGCCTCTTGCCTCTCGCCAGCCGCTTGACCTCCAGAGGGGGGCCCGGGCTGAAGCAAGAGGAGGAGGCCGCGGCGGCGGCGGCTGCGGCGGCGGCCGTGCCGGGGGCAGCCAGGAAGAGCAGAGGCGGCGGGGGCGGCGGCGGTTGCAGGAGCTGCGGCTGCAGGAGCGGCAACAGCAGCGGCGGCTGCTGAGGGGACAGGAATCTCCTCCGCTTGCGGCGTTCCTCCAACTTCTTCTCCGCCCAGCTCAGGCCCCCGCCTCCCCCCAGCGCCGTGTCCGAGCTGCTCGGCATCGCCTAGAGCCCGCCGCAGAGCGCGGCGCGGGTGCGGCCTCCTCCCGGGTCAGATCTTGGCCATCGCCCCCTCCGGAAACGGGAACGGCGGCGGAGGGACACTGAGCACCAGGGCCAGCAGGGAGACGCGCCACGATAATCCGGGTCGGGACTCGGGTCCCTAGGTTCCAGGTCACAGTGGGGTATGCAGCGGCCTCCGGGCCTGAGGAAAGCAGGAATCCGAAGGGTAGAGCTTCTCGATCGCTTTCGTCGTCCTATCCTCGGCAGCAAAAACACCAAATGCGCCGGGCGCTGGCCCGCGGGGGAGTCCGGAGTCCTCCAAGTGCCCCCGGGGGTGGGGGAGCGGCCTCCGCCGCGCTCTCGGCTCCGGGAGCGCAACGCGGAAGTACCACCTTCGTCGCCGCTTCACTCCATCGCGCCCTGACGTTAGGAGCGAGTTCAGGGGAGGGGAGTGGGCGAGACAACAACACGCCTCCGCCGCCTGCTCCTCCGCGTCGACGTCGTCCTCTTGTGGTGGCGGCGACACCCCGCGGTCGCCTCGGAAGTGGCCTGGGCCTGACAACAAGTCCCGGCCTAAGGCCTCGCGCACTCTTGCGGCCCTCGGGGACGGGCGCCGGGGCGGGGCGAGGCGGGGGCGACCCGGCTGCGGCTCACGGTTGGGGCGGCAAGTGTGTGGGTCTGGGCGGGGGGTTGTTTCCGGGGAGATGGGGGTGGGGGGCGTTTCTGAGTCTGTGGCTGTGGGTACGGGCCTTGACTTTCTTCTTCCTTCGCCACCACCAACAGAAGCAGCGGAGCTGTCCCTTTCCTTCGTTCCCCCCCCACTCCACGAGGAAGCTCTGAGTGTGCAGCTGCCGACCCCGATTCGCTCCTCCCCTTCCCTCTGCGCTCCTCGTCAGGAGGAGGGCTACGGGACTTAGTGGTGGGGCCCTAACCTCCACAACCCCTCCTTCTCGCCTTGCTCCCTCGGCATTTCCCCTCAGCCCAGACGCAATTCCGGGAGCGCGCACGCACGTCACGCTCCGACAAAGCTGAAGGTGAGTGGCGGCGAGGGCAGGGGAGGCGGGAACAAAGTTGCCGCGCACTGGCGTACTCGCTCCCGCCAGGGTCCGCCTTTCCGCACCGGAAGTGGCGTAAAGCAGAAACCTTTGCTTCCGGTAAGGGTGGGACTTTGTGAAGAAGGGTTAAAGAAAGGAGAGGAGTGGTGCTCCTCCCACTGCTGTCGCTTGAGGCTCTCCCAGTGGTGGCACGCCCATCATGCCTGTTGCTTTGAGTCCTGGGCGAATTGCCGGCTTCGGCCCTGATTCTCCGCAGACGCCTCACTGCGTGCCTGTTAAGTGAAAGGTCATGGAGCGAACAAGCATCTCCTGGACTCTGGGAGGAATAATGTGTTTTTAGTAGGAGGATGACCTACTAAATCACCCCGTTTTCAGCCTTCAGCCAAGCCCAGGATGAGAACAACTGCAACCCGCAAAAGAGGACAGAGATGACCTTAGGCTAACTACTCTCACGTACTCCCAAATTTCAGGATCTATCTTAACCTAAAAATACACTTACTAATCACAGCCTCTAAGATCGGTGACATTAAAGTTTACTTAAGAAAAAAACTAAGTCGATCTAGGGGATAAATGGAATGTCAAAAGAGACTACTGAAAAAAAAATCCCAGAATTTTCGGAGGGCCTTAAATAAAATATCTTGTAAAAATCAGGGCCATCCTCCTAGTTCTTCACCCACTTTCACCTTAATATTTAAACCTATAGGGCTTCCAAACATAACCATGTAGTGACCTCACATCGCATTTCTTGTTTTAGTAGGATTGCCCTTCAATTATAGGCTGGGTACTCAGGATAATTAGATTAAAATTTAAATGGCTTATTGGCTTTTAGTACGGAAAACTAAATAGTCTGTTCAAGAACTATACGGAGTCATCCCTTTGCAAGCTTATATGTTCAGATCATCAGTTAATTCTTGTTTTTTTTTTTTATAATTTTGTTTTTGTTTTAGGTGGACACAATATCTATTTATTTTTATGTGGGGTGCTGAGGATCAAACCCAGTGCCTCGCACATGCCAGGCCAGCGCACTACCATTTGAGCCGCATCCCCACCCCTTAATTCTTGGTTCTTAAACACTTGGTATGCCAGGCCAGCATGCTACCATTTGAGCCGCATCCCCACCCCTTAATTCTTGGTTCTTAAACACTTGGTAACTCTCCAGCATTCATGGTACAAATAATTTTAATCAGCTTGATGTCACTTTATCACAGATTGGATGGAATCTAAAATAAGACTTCACTGACAGAATACAAAGGGTGTTTGTTTGCTAAAGGATAAAGGAAAGGGAATATAGGTAATCAAGTCAGAGTATTTCCCAGGGTGATGCCCATACAGTGGGACCTGTGCAACCAGAAAAAAAAATGGAAAGACAATTTTTCCCTTGAATGTATTGCAAAATAAACATCCTATAGTCATGCTCCTACTAAAAACTATTCATCAAGTGGCTTTTTCCAAAATATGCGTTCGCTCTGCCCCATCCTCCCATTTTTAAAAGCCTGGAATAATAAAACAAAGAGAACACAGAAGTTTATCTAGCAGTTCCCCAAATCCATAACCAGTTTAACTTGAGAGTGTTATCTATCTTATACTTTAAAAAAACTTGATCCATAAGTGTATAGTTCCCAGTACTAAAATATTTTTTAATATCTTTATTTTGTTTATTTATTTTTTTATATTTATTTTTTAATTGGACACAATATCTTTATTTTATTTATTTATTTTTATGTGGTGCTGAGAATCAACCCAAGGCGTCGCACATGCTAGGTGGGTGCTCTGCCGCTGAGCCACAATCCCAACGCTTTTTTATTTATTTTTATGTAGTGCTGAGGATTGAACCCAGTGCCTCACATGTGTGAGGCAAGTGCTCTGCCACTGAACCACAACCCCAGCCCTCTAAAATATTTTTAATGTGGTTCTGTCACCCACATGTTTCCTCAAAGATTTTATCTTGGTGGAGCAGCCTGTAATCCCAGCTACTGGGGAGCCTGAGGCAGGAGAATCACAAATTTGAGACCAGCCTGGGCAACTTAGCCAGATCCTATATCAAAATAAAATAAATATGGCTATAGCTCAGTGTTTACCTATAATGTTTGGGGTGTTCAATCCACCACACACACTCACACACACACACACACACACACACA